AGGTAGATGAAACACGACTCTTGCCTTTTAAAGATGCCCAACCACCATGGGACTAAATGAGCCACGGGGGCGGAAATTCCACCCCCACCCCCGTCCTTCTGTGGTATGTTTCTCCGCTGTCCCAGCTGACGAATTAACAATGCTACACTTCCTTTACATGTAAGAGGGTCACCCCGAGTGTGGCAAAAGAGGTATTAATTAGGGCAGGAGCTCAGAGATTGCACACACTGTTCTTCTAAAGCTGACCAAGGGATGGGTGCCTTCTTGATTCAGTGACCAATTCCCGGGTTTCTAAGGTGTAATTATAGGATTCTGGGTGCCCAGGGGACAGAAGAACCATATACCTGGTGACTAATCAAGCCACTATTTTGAAGACTATGAGGACCTACAGCTGGGAAGCTGGGAACTTGGAAGAGGAAAGGGAGGAATATCTCCAGGAGGTCAGGAAAGGTTCAAAGACAGAGGTCCCGAAGCCCCTTACTCCCTCCTTTAAAACACATCTTTAGATTTATTTTATTTTTATGTGTATGCATGTTTTGCCTGGACATATGTATGAGCACTACACGCTGCCTGGTACCCAAGGAGATCTGAAAGGGGGCCATATTCCAGGGATCCATAGTTACGGGTGGTTATGAGCCCCACGTGGGTGCTGGGGACTGACTGAACCTACGTCTTCTGAAAGAGCATCAGGTACTCTTAACAGCTGGGTCTTCTGTCTAGTCCCAGATGATTTTCTGAGACAGGGTCTTGCTTTGCAGCTTCCCTGAAACTTGCTATGTAGACCAGGTTGGACTCAAGCTCACGGCTATCTGTCTGTGTCTGCCTCCCAGGTGCTGGGATTAAAGCTAAGCCCCGCCCCCCCCCATACTTGCCAGTAGTCTAGAAGAAGTAGACAACCATGACCCAGTATTACTAAATGCAGAGAAACACTTCATGCCCTCTGGGGCATTCTGCCAAAGAGGAGCCTGGGCTGCTGTCCGATGTGGGCAGCTGGTTCTGGCTCAGCCCCCCAGGACCCAGTCCTCTGAGGCACGATACCTTAGTGCATACTCAGAATGCAAGGTTGCAGGGTCTCTGCTGCATGCACCGAGCAATCATTTCAGCCCCAGCGTCTAGACAAGGACAGCATACAGTAGGGGTGAAAGCCACAAGACAGGTGGCCTGCTCAGCAGCCTCGGGCCACCTCTCTGGTTGGCACAGGAAGAGTGAGAACGGTGCTACCTCTGTGATTCTTCAGAGCAGACCGCTCAAGAGAAGATTCTCTTGGCGATAAGAGTAGCCAAGTGCCTGAGCGGCTCATTAGAGCTCAGAGCAATCGAAGCAAATCTCTGGGATTCTGAGTCAGAACTCAAGTGCAGAACTTAGCTCTGAACGTTGGAATTTGGGAGGAAGGGAGGGAGCAGGAGAGTAAAAATTTAAATAATGCATATAACACAATTTGCATCAGGAATGAAGGACAGGCTTCCTTTAGGGCGCACTAGGTTCTGTCAGCCTTCCAGGCAGTGAGGAAAGCAACCAGAAGGAAGCGGGCATGTGAGCTGTGGTGCTCCAGGGGAAGCGCTGTGCTCCAGGGGAGGAGCAAGAGCTTTCAGATTTCATCACAGACATCTAATAACACCTTGGTGCGTGCTTTGCTCCAGAGCAGCTTGGAGGCCCGAGCAGTCAAACTCACTCCTTCCCCAACCACCCCAAGAGGAAAGGAGCCTGTCAGCTTCACTAAAGAAGAAAGGAGGGAAAGAAAAACAAAGGCAGAGCAAACCTCCAGTTGCTTTGTATCTGTCTGAAGGCTCAAGGCAGAGAGAGCGGGTTTTATGCAGAGGCACCCTGGGACCCTCAGGAAGGAAACCTGAAGGCTGCGGTAGGAAAACATTACTTTCAGGGAGGTTTTAATCAGTGTGAGCAGCTCTTTGATAGGCAAGGATGTTAAGCCAGGAATGGCTCTTTGGAGAGTCTGAAGATGGGGTGAGGGGTAGTTAACACGTGGTGTCTCCTCCTGCCACCCCTCCCAGTCGGGATGTTTACAGAAGCCCTTCAGTCGGCTTAGAGGGAGGTGGGTGAGTACCGAAGGAAGCCCACAGAACTGCAGACTCTAGCACTACCAGCCGCTGCCCTGGGTAGGCATATAGAGGCCTCCTTCCTCCTTAAACTGGACTGAGAAGAGATGAAATAAATGGACTAAAATTAAAGACAATTCTGCTGAAAGAAAACACCACTAGCCAACTTGTGGTTCAGATTACATTTGCTCCCATTGGCAGGGAGTGGTTAACAGGGAGTGAGCAGTAAGTCCAGGCTCTGGGGTAAAAAAAAAAGTATGGGCAAGATAATCTCACAAGGGGTAATGCCAGAGAGATCACCTTCCCGGGGGAGACTCAAGACAGGGTATAAAACCCCTAAGTCACGTGAGTTAAATTTCCCTTGGTGGGGCTCCCTGGTAACCCCATCTCTGACTCTCAAGACTCGAATTCTACCCAGAGCAGCAGCAACAGCTGGAACAGTACTGCTCACAGGGTTTCCACCCCGCTGTGGTGTTGTGGCTTCTCTCTATGCTGCTTTGGCCTTGGCAGGGTGGGCACTCAAGTTTGGGCAAGAACCCTCCTAGTCTCCTGTCCATTTTCATTTCGGCCTCTCCAGCTGAGCCATGGGAGGGCCTCTCAGTTTCCTGAGCTTGTTTTTCTGCTGGATAATTCTGGATCCCCACAGAGCAACCAATCCATCATATGATATACAGGTTCCTCCAGCCACTTCCCCAGAGGCCTCCAACTCTTCGAGTTCCCAGTTTTTCTCCCTAGCTGAACAGGAGTCCAGCGCAATACAACAAATTTAGACCACTCCAAGGATTACGTCTTTAGCACAGCAGGGGGGTGTGTGCAGGTGAAATTCAACACTCGTGGTAGGCTTTGGACCCATGTGAGTGTGTCACCTGGAAGTCATGTGTACTGTAAATCTTTAAAAGAGAAGGATTCATCTCCTAGGCCAGCCCTCCACTTCTGCCCTCTACAGCCCTTCTTCCTTCCCCAATAGGACTCAGAGCCTAGGCTCTTTCCTTGACTCAGTAGTGGGTAGGATGGTATCTTAGAGATGAACTCTCAGGCTCTAAGTGAAACAAGACAGTAGAAGTCCTGTTCACACGAAAGGGAATCCCTTCTGCCCCACGGTAAAAGGAAGCTTCAGAGTTCCTGAGCCTTCCCATCCTTGCACGTAAGGCCCGGAGTCCATCACCATCCCTCATTCTTCCAGCTGCACTCGCTTTCCAGGTTCCTACCCCGTGCTTAGGACATAATAGTGCATCCAACACCCCCAAAAGGACCCTGCGGAGCCAGCGGCTGGGAAGTAGAGTGGCTCATGTCTCCACACATAAACTGCTCCTGGAATGCTACATCCAAGCCCCTCCAGGAAGAGCAGAGGAAGAGCACAGCTTCCAACAAAGTAAACAACAGCACACACCTATATGTCCACTATTCTCCAAAAACCTTTAACAAAAGGGCTTTGGAGAGATCTCAGACAGGGTGCTCGCCCTGTGAGTAAGAGGACTTGAGTGTGAGTCCCCAGAACCCATGTGATCAAGACAACGTCTGATGGTGTGCACCTGTAATTCCAGAGCTGGGGGGTGGGGCAGGGACAGACAGATCCCAGGGCCTCAGTGGCCCACCTGCCTCACAGGTGGGGGAGGGGGTGGGGATGGAGTAGGGACAGACAGATCCCAGGGCCTCAGTGGCCCACCAGCCTCATGGGTGAGGGCAGGGCAGGGGCAGACAGATCCCAGGGTTTCAGTGGCCCACCAGCTCCACTGAATCTGACAGTTCCTGGTAAAGTGAAAAACCTTGTTTCAAGAAACAAAGTGGACATGATCCTGAGCCACAACGTCTAAGGCTGATACCCAGATACCAGTGCAGATACCCAGATGTGTGTCTGTACACGCCTGCAAATGCACACCCACACATGGAAAGGGAGGGAGGGACAGAGAATAGCTTCAGCACAGGATAGGTATACATACAAGGGGTTTCCCTTTCCTTCGGTCACTATTAGAGCTCATTTAAAGAAAGAAGGAGTCCCTTCCACCAGAATGAGACTAACAACAGCTAATTAGAACTAACACATCAGGCACTCTGGAAACAGAGAATCTATTATTATAGAACAGTTTCATCCATCTGCCCACCCACCAAGTACAAGAGACTTACAGAGGCTTGAGGCCCCTGCACCCAACCTCGAGGACAGGGTGCAGGTGGCAGACACGACGCCCTGCCGAATTCTGCAGCTCAGGATCTGATCTGCTCTTTGGAAAGAAACATGGCAAGCCGCAGAGTGCAGAGCTAATTTCTGCTCGCTGGTTTCTACTGGTTTCTAGCACTAAGTTCTGGGAGAACATCAAATTGTCAACAGGGGCTGGGGGGTTGGGGTGGAAAGGAGCTACTAGTGCAACCCTCATCCCACTGCCTCACACCACCCCCAAACCCCACCCCACACCCCATATCCCTTTCCTCCGGTGGAGGACACGGTCTTGGACTCCTTCAAATGTGAAAAATAAACCAATAGATGCACGTTTTCTACATAACCCCCCCCCCACCCACACACACACACACAAACACAGTGAAGGCTGGACACAGCCAACTTCTACGGTCTGGTCTCTTCCAGGCGCCTGAAGAGCAAGAATCTCTATCCTTGGCTAGCTCTTTTCCAGGCTTGGCAGCCCCTCCGAAGCCCGAGTGAACATCTGCTCCAACCTGGCCTCACCCAGGTGCCTCCCTCACCTCAGAGGGCTCCCTGTAAGCAGTGGCCTAGCCCCTTCTGCCTCAAAGCATTCCCGGGTTAAAGACGGGGCTGTCCCCAGGTAAGATCGAGCAGCTGTGAAAGTCTAGCGGCAGCTGCAGAGGGTCAAACTCTCACCATTCCACTCAGATGACCAAGCCTGAGAGCAGCATAGGAGCCTGGGGCCCGGCAGCTGGAGCAGGGGCCAGGGCTTCCCCTGAACCGCGTCAATCACCTGCAGGCAGCACACTCACCTGCAGATGTAGTTTGTCTTGCAGGAGTCCTGCAGATTCAGGCAGTTGGGCTTGTCCCGTTCTTCATAGGAGCACACGGGGACGATGGTCTGTCGCCGCCGCTCCGTGCAGGCAATGTCCCTGCAGGAACAGAAGAGCATCCCGTAGCTGTGCTTGGCCGGGACCTTGTCAAAGAACTGCCTGAGGGCCTTGTGGCACTTGCGGCGATTGCAGACTTCGTTGGACATGCTGGTTGTGCACGGCGTGATGTAGGCAGACCTGTACTTCTTGCAGGTGTCGTCCAGGTTGCAGGCCTTGGCCGCGTCCAGGCAGTTGTTCCCTTTGGAAATGTGCTCCACTGTAAAGCAGAGAGAGAGGAGTGAGCGCAGGACTGGGTTCCCAAGCGTCCCCACGCACGCACGTCTGCATTGAAGTCTCGCCAATCCCCTGGGTATGCACAAACTCTGGAATTCAAGGAGTCTCAAACCTGGTGACGTAATGGTCTATGACACAGAGGAGGTGTTAGGGTGCAAAGGCAAGGAGCCAACAGTAGTCCCTAGATGTCCCTAGACATCTTTGTGGAGCGATGGATCCACCTTGGGAACTCGGGCACCTGCCCAGCTACTAGTTAAAAAAATGCAACTGGAAAAATGTTTCCAGTTCCTGCTTGGTAAACTGAAATCAGGACCAAAGAAAACAGCAACAAATTATATACTTGTTCATGATACAGTATATAAAATGATATGCTGAATGCAAGTATAATTGCCATGCAATCCTCCAGGAATATAATTATGTAATAAATGCGTATAGAACATGCTAATTACTATATGATTACCGAGTAATTACATGGTTATTTGAGCCCAGAAGACAAAATATTATGCCAGCCTCTCTAAACAGGAAGAAGCAACTCCAGAGAGTTTGCGTCTGAGTTTCAGATCATAGGCCGTTGGATGAGCACCAGAATAAAGCACACAAAATTTTCCAAACCTCAATTACCACTTAGCTCACCACATCCAAAATGTCGGCTCTGTGGACACTGATGTTCCTGATTAGGAAAATTCAGCTCAGATTTTGGATAGAATTTCTCTGGGTTTATACTGCACAGGCTTTAGAAATATCACAAAGCATATGCTAGCTTCTGCTTGGGCTCTCTGTGCCCAGGCTGCCTGGAAAGCCAGCACTGCCCACTATGGGCTGCTCTTGTGCAGTCTGGATTAGAGTTTCCAGGAGGCAGAGTCCCAGGGCAACTGCACAGGCTGCCTGGGCCAATGGGGAAGTTTCAAGTAAACTGACAAGGGGAATCGAGCGTAGGACTCAAATTTTAGGCTCAGGACCCACGCTCCAGGCCCAGGGCCCACGCTCCAGGCTCAGGACCCACGCTCCAGTCCCAGGGCCCATGCTCTAGGCTCAGAGACCACACAGCTCAGGATCCACGCTCCGGGCGCAGGGCCCATGCTCTAGGCTCAGGACCTCCGCTCCAGGCTCAGGACCCACATTCTAGGCTTAGGGCCCACGCTCCAGTCCCAGGGCCCACACTCCAGGCCCAGGACCCCCGCTCCAGGCTCAGGATCCACGCTCCGGGCCCAGGGCCCACACTCCAGGCCCAGGGCCCATGCTCTAGGCTCAGGACCTCCGCTCCAGGCTCAGGACCCACATTCTAGGCTTAGGGCCCACGCTCCAGTCCCAGGGCCCACACTCCAGGCCCAGGACCCCCGCTCCAGGCTCAGGATCCACGCTCCGGGCTCAGGACCCACATTCCAGGCCCAGGGCCCAAACTCCAGGCTAAGGACCCATGTAGTTTCTTCGTTGTTGTGACTAGCACCCTGACAAAAAGACAACGTAGGGAAAGGGTCCACTTGGCGTACTGTTCCGGAGCAGTCTATCATCGAGAAGCCAAGATGGGGTCTGAAAGAGTTGCTCACATCACACCCACAGTCGAGAGCAGAGGGGAATGAACACTGACCTGACCACTTGATAGCTTTAAAGTCACCCCTCTTCCCCCACCCCTGGTGAATACTGTCACTCCTAGTGGGCTGGGTCTTCCTACATCATCACTGCCATTAACAATCCCCAGACGATCCCCAGAAACATGCCCACAGACCAGCCTGATAAATACAGTTACTCAGCTTTAAGATTTTTCTTGGGGAATTCTAGGTTGTGGCAAGCTGACACTCAGAAGTAACTGTCAACACCTATGTAAGGGAGTTTCTCTAGAGGAAGTGAAATGAAGGAACCTTCCAGAATGCACACGACCCAACAATCCATGTAACCTCAACTGGAGAAAAATGGCAGAGAAGGTGTCACCACATGCACCAGGTATCACAGGCATGCCACACTGAAATGAACCCATGCTCACATCCAGCATCAGGTTCATCCCAATAGTCAGAATTCACTCAGTTCCAGCAACACAATGTCGCATTAACCTGCCGTTCTTCATTGTCATTCCACCGACCTCACCGTTTGACCTTTCACTGTTTGACTTGTGTTGTTTTTGTAATTCTGCGACAACAAGCAAGGGCTTCTCTTCTTTACAAACCTAGGGTAACTTTCCAGTAAAAATAGTAAGACAACCAATGACACCAACAAATTTCTTTTTCTCTGGAAGTAATCCATACTGCAACATACAAGCTTAAGAAGACTTGGCTGCTGTAACTTTTTTTTGTTCCCATGACATTGTTATTTTTAATACTTTTTTATAATTACATAAGCTTAAGCTTTACCTGTGTGTGTGTGGCATGTGTTTACATGTGTGTACAGAGGTATGGATGTCTCTGTGGAAGCCCGGTCGGTGTTGGGGGCTTTCCTCTAGCACCTTTGTCTTACTGTTTGAGACGGGGTCTCTCAGGGAACCTGGAGCATGCACGTGTGTCTAGCCTGGCTGGGCAGAGGGCTCCAGAGACCTGTCCATCTCCTCTGGCACCAGCACAGGGAGCCCACAGTCATATGACCTGGTTTCTATTGTGTGCAGTGGGGCCCTGAACCCAGTTCCTCATACTTCTGCAGCAATGCTTGCAGACTGGGCCATTTTCGTAATATTGGAAAGAAAAGCAATATTCTAAAGGAAAAGCTTTGTACAGAGGAAACAGTAAAGTGTGTTATGTCTGAACCAATCGTTCGTGGCTAACTTAGTTTAGCAGGGGCTGTGATTGTGCCTCACCTTCTGCTGATTCCATTTTCTCCCACACATCGCCGTACCAGCGCACCGTCTCCTTACCCTTCGTTCAGAGCCTGTGACAAATTCCAAAGTGTACCACCGGCACATTTGGAGGGGCAAAACTAATTTGTTCCCACCTCGCAGGTCAGACGTGGCTTCCGACACGATTCTGCCCTTACGAACACAAACCATTTCCACTACACTTCCCACCTCAATGAGCCCAGAAAAATCCAACACAAGAACCCAACAAATGCGAAATAAGCAAACAACAGACTCCCGCTCCTCACAAAGGCAGATGTAAAAATCGCAGGCAAATCTGAGCTACTTGTTTAGCAATATGTTAAGAAGATAACGCACCATTTCCCCAAGGATCCAATATAATTTTGATGTTTAAAAATCAATGTGATTCCACAGTAACGGAATTCAAAAAGAAGAAAAAATGAGTTATTTTAGCAGAAAAAAAAAACGCATCCAGTGAATTTCAACACTCACTCAATACAAATATTCAGCGAACTAAGAATAGAAAATAATTTCCTCAGTTTGAGAAAGGGCAGCTATGACACACGGATATGATCAGATCTCATAGTAAGACAATTTCTCCCCTAAGACCAGGAACAAAAGACGCACATCCTTTCTCTGCAGAGTCTGTGCTGTAGTAGAGGGGTCTTAGGCTTTGCAATACAGCAACAGAAATAAATAAAAGGTGGACGAGAGGAAGACACACACACACACATGCACACACACACACATACACACACACACACCTGTTTGCAAATGACTTCAAAACCCCATAGGGATATATGAAACAACTGCTAGAATAATTAAATTTAGCTGTCAAAGATATAAAATTAATATAAAAATCAATTGCACCTTCTTGAGTTCACAAGTTCATTTTTTGTTATTAATTGCCTCTGGAGTCCACTGAGAACTCCTCATAATGCATCAGGCACCCACAGACTGGACGGTGCGGCAGGAGGACTCGGGGAGGGGGGTCCACATCAGGCACACCACAATGACACTCTAGAAACCCAATTGGGAGGGGGAACGTCTTTTCAATAAATGGTGCCAGAGAATGAAAAGACAAAAATCCCAAATTCTCAACCCACACTTTACACCAGGCATAAAAAAAAATCAATACAGGATACATCACAGTCTTCAATATAAATGCTAAAATCATATATTAGAAAATAAAATTATCTGGGCAGTCAACAAGCACTATAGGACCATATAATATAAAATAAAGTCAAAGAAAAAATTCTCTAAGTCAGAGTTTACAGAAATTAAAAACTCCTGGTGGTATAAGAAAAGGCCGGGCAATGATAGCACATGCCTTTAATCCCAGCACTCAGGAGGCAGAGGCAGGCAGATCTCTGTGAGTTCAAGGCCAGCCTGGTCTACAGAGTGAGTTCCAGGACAGGTTCCAAAGTTACAGTGAAATCTGTGTCAAAAACAAAACAAAACAACGCTTAGAACTTACGATAAAGAGAAAGAACCCCCCTTAGACACAGACCAATTATTTTAACATATGTGTCACTGAAATAAATGTGTAAAGAGCCAATAAAACATACTAAGTATTCAATATCATTAGTTATGCAACAATAATCAAAATAAACCTACAGTGAGGTGTTCTCTTGAGCAATCACAATGATTAAAACTAACGTCCAGGAGTAGAGGTATTAGCTCTTCTTTGAAGTTCTAGTAGAATTCTGCACTAAAACCATCAGGCCTTGGGCTTTTTTTGATTGGGAGGGTTTTGATAACAACTTCTATTTCTTTGTAGGTTATAGGTCTATTTAAATTGTACACTGGTCTTGATTTAATTTTGGTATGTTGTACCTATTCAGAAAATTGTCCATTTCTTTTACATTTTCCAATTTTGTGGAGTACAGGTTTTTGTAAGTATGAACTAATGACTGAATTTCTTCAGTGTCTGTTGTTATGTCCCCCTTTTCCTTTCTGATTTTGTTAATTTGGATGTTCTCTTTCTGTTTTAGTTTGGATAAGGATTTGTCTATCTTGTTGATTTTATCAAAGAACCCACTCTTTGCTTCATTGATTCTTTGTATTGTTTTCTTTGTTTCTATTTGTTGATTTCAGCCCCCAATTTGATTATTTCCAACCCCAATAGTACAGGCACTGAGAGCAACAACAAATAAATATGTCTTCTGTAAAGCAAAGGACACAGACAATAAGACAAAAAAGGC